CAAGCAAACTTGATGGGAGAAGTTTCGGGGGCTGCACTGTACCTCCTCTTGCTAATTTCATTCTTTATTCCGACCCAGTGTCCTCTCTCTCTGTTGATCTGAGCAGCACTGGCTCAGGTCACTGAGCATCTCCTTGTCTCAAAAACAATATCTCTCAGTGCTTCTGTTCCTCGACCGTCTCAGCAGCACTGGGAATACTTCTTTCCCTTTGCTCCTAAGAGAGTGTGATTTTCCTTCTCTCTCTCTCCAGCAGCATGCACTGGCCATTCTCTGCTTGCCCCTGGACCCATTTTCCATCCATCCCCATCCCGAATTTGCTCTAGGAGTCTGCCCTGGACCGGTTGTGATTTCATCCTTTCATTGTATTGATGAAACTGTGCTGTGCAGAAGCTTTTCAGTTTGATGGAGTCCCACTTGTTTGTTTGATGTTATGTGTATTCCACACATATGTTATACATATTTACCGCAGTGAAAAATGAAAAGTGAATTCCATGCCTGGAGGTGGAAAACTCGGAGTATTTCCTGAACGTGGGCCAACTGCATCTGCCTGGATGTGTGTCCTGACGCCCGCTGAAATGCCTTCTTGCTTGTATGCACGTGCTGGTGTTGTCCCAGATCGGTGGTTATCTCTTCAGGCCCAGGGCGCTTCCTACCAGAGAGAGGGAGGCACCTCTTCTTTCTGGCTTCCTTCTCCATCCTAACAGTCAATTCCAGTGGATACTGTATGGGACCACACACAAGAATGAAGCAAGAAGAGTTAGTTCTGGGGTTTTGGGGACAAGCCAATGCTTGGAGAAAGAGAGGAATTTACTAGAAAGTCTCTTTTTGGGAGATATCCTGGTCAAGCAGTTGTCCCAGCAGGGGCACAGGGGTTTAGATTTGTGCACTTTTAGTGGCATGTATTCAAAAAAGAAGTTCCAGGTGAACGCAAAATTCAGGGAAATGATCCTTACCTTGTAGGTCCTTACCTTGTAGAAATGATCCTCGGCCAGTGATGTGTGGTTATTTCTGAAAAGCCTTCTACTGGCAACGCGGGAGGGATGTGGGAGGAGAAAGAAGACAGGTGGGGGTGGGGTAGGAATGAGGAGATGAACAGAGGGGTGTCAGCTGCTCCTCCCACGGCGGCCTCGTGAGTCCCTGTCCAGGAGACACCTGTGATGACAGACATGCTCACACTAATCTGCAGGTGGCTCCTGAAACGTGGCCAGGGTGACTGAGGAACTGAATGTTCAATTTTGTTTACTTGTAATTAGTTTAGATTTAAAAAGCCCCACCTGATTAATGGCTATCTTCTTGGACAACACAACTCGAGGTCACCTTCTGGTGACCCGAGGACTCTGGAGCTTGATTTGGTTCTGGGGAGGCTCTGGAATTCACATCTGCTGGGGTTAGAACTGAGGAGCACTTGGGGCTTTTAATATGGACATTGGATTCCCCCAAACCTCATCAAAAGTAGACTTAGTATCATTAAGTTACTGTTTGATTAATCAATTATTGACTGATGTTCATTGTTTGTTGAGCACCTGCACTAGGACAGACGCTGTGTTTAAAAATGAGGACACTGAACAAGTGTGAATAGAGGCATGTTATGAAAGAAGCCTCACCTGTCAGTGGGAAGGAGTCTTTCTGTGGGGGAAGGGGGTGATGTCAGATGGAGGCAGTCATTTTGTCACATTTTGTTTTAATAGGGACATTTCAAGTCCTATGGTCCCTGAACTCTGATTCAACTTTTCTAGTCCTCCTTGCCGCCTTCCTTCTCAGTAGAATCTTCTGGGTTGACCTGATGTCTTGAATGGTGGTTGAACTCATAAAAATGGTGAACCCTTGTTTCACCACCCCCCACCCCAAAAGGGTTTCAGAGGGCGAGGAAGGGGAGGAGAGTTGAGAGGATGGGACGAAGAGCACTGGCAGAGATTGGGGTGGGCTGGGGCGGTGGGGCGGTGTGCTGCTGCAGCCCCCAGGGACCCCCGGGAGTGCCCGAGGCAGCTGTGGAGGCAGCTGTGGACAGGGCTCCCTTGAGGGACAGGATTTTGTTACAGTCTCTACCCAAGACTGGGATGGAAGCCAAGGCTGCAGCCTGAGTCAGCCTTCCAGCTCCAGCCCAGCACCGCCTTGACTCTGTCCCTTGGGCTGTTGGTCCTTCTGCTTGGCCACCCCCAGCGGGGTGCAGTTAGCTGATTCAGTAAGTGTCCGTGGGGCGCCTCCTGTGCGCTTACAACCCAAGGGTTCTTAAGGTAACACTTGGGCTACTTTGGGTCAGTTCACTCCCCCTGCCTGGCTGTCTAGCCCTTGGTTGCCTCAGAGGCTCCCGGCTCCTATGAGGAAGGAAGGCTGATGGGTGCCCTGAGTTTTGGGCTGCACGTCTCAACTCTGGCTGCACTTGACAATTACTGGGGGAGTTTTTGAAAGGTACAGATGCCTGGGCATCCCTGGCCCCAGGCCAGCTAAATTAGAATTTTGAACATGAAGACCTGGGCATTTTTTTTTTTAAAGCTCCCTGGCCAGGATATTGTCCTGCAGAGCACCGAGGGTTGGAAGGAGGGCCCGGGAATCCTGCTGCGTTCCTCCCATCCTCTGGAAAACCTCTTGGCTGGCTCTCGTGGAGGCGGGAGCCCCATTTCTGCAGGGAAAATCCCGGGAAAGCTGGGGGGGGCCGCATGCACAACCCTACCTCTCCCCCCGCCCCACCCCGCCATCGAGGCCTGAGAACCCATAGTCGCCTCTGGGACCCCTGTCCTGGTGCACAGAGCAGCCGGAATGTGAGCTTTCCCACGGCTGGAGGTGGCCGCCTGATGGCTTCCAGCTGTCACCACTAGCCAGGGAGGCCTCTTCCACATGCTGGACTCACCATTCTGTCAGAAATGCTGCCCACCTGAACTCGGCGCCGCCAGCCTAAAAGCCTACAGGCAGCCGATTAGGGTGGAGGGTGGAGGTGGGGGATGTGTGTGGGGCTGGAGAGGAAGACAGGAACTCCAGGGAACTTTCCTAAGTTATGAGCTGGCTCCAAACTGCTAACTGCCTTTAAAGAAAATAATGAGGTGTGTTGAAAGAGCGAGCACTTTCTTACACTCAGCTCAGCAGTTGGAGCCAGGGCCTCCGGGTGGGGAGGGAGTCGGACTCCAGCCTCAGGTTTTGCTCTCCTGGTCCCACTCAGCCAACATCCAGAAGGGTTTGCTGTGGGCTGTCATCTGCTGGCTCACGTACAACACCCAAGCGCAAACACATTTTCACATTCAGTCTTAAATGCTCAGAGGAACCAAGGTTTTCTGAGATTACACATTTTTGCAGCATTATGCTATACTTGAGCATGCAAAACAATGAAGTGGAATCTTCTTTCTTTCTTTCTTTTTTATCGCTTCTAGGACCACACAGGGAATTCTTTTGGTAGGTGGGGTGCTCGGGGTCTGGGCGCTGGTGTGCACCTGGCCCGGGTCAGATGCTCGGACAAGTGTTTGCTGAATGGGGATGGCAGCTACCCGCTGACCCAAACTTGTAGGGCTTGTGGAACATCTCTGGGTGGGTGCGGTTGCTTCAAATTTAAGGCAATCTCTGGAGTCACTGCTTCTGTGTGCTGGGAGGGCCGTCTGGGGTGCAGGAGAGAACACTTGGGTTTAAATTCCAGCCCTGGCCCTTCCTGACCGTTGGAACTTGGACAGGTCACTTGACCTGAGTGAGCCTCTGTTTTCCCATTTGTGAAAAGGGGAAACTAAATAGTTGGGCCTTAATGGGGGGTGTGGTGGCAATACCAGGGAACTAAGAGCCTAGAAGGGAGGTCTTGTCTTGCCCCACCCTTCTTTTCTGTTTCATTCATTGGGCTTTCTCTTCTGTTTTCCTTGAAAAAATCTCTCTCTGGAGCTTCTCAAAATCTGTGCATCCAGGTCCCACCGCAGACCAATTAAATCAGAACCTCTGAGAGTGAGACAGGGGCATTGGGTTGGCAGTTCTTTACGGTTGCTGGTGACTCTGATGCCTGGCCAGTGTTGCGAACCACTGCCCTAGAAGGGTCAGTGGAACTGGGACAGCGATAGGTGTTGGGACAGTAATGCTTGGGACAGTACTGTCCCCAGGGCCCAGAGGGTCACCTGGGGTCCTGTTGGTGGGAGAGTTCCTTATACATGAGGTTTTAGGGGTCATGGTTTTGACCCTCAGGGGCCAAAAACCCGTTACATTTAGTAATTTGCAATTTTCTCAGGAATGTGACTTTGAACTTCACCCACTACAAGGTGGGTGCCTGAGATGGAGTCACCTGGCTGGCACCAGGCCCCATGGGCCCCCCAACTCTCCCCTGAGCAGCACACAGCAGCACTAAGGAAGTGATAGAGAGCTGATTCCTTTCTGGAAATTGGCCCTCAAAGAGAAGGGCAGCTGCTAGTGCTGGTGTTCACAATGAAGAGAGAGGGAAGATGTTCTAGAGAGCCATGATTCCAAGCTGGAAGTAGAAGTTCGGATAAGTTAAGGAGCAGCTTGCCTCTGTGCTGTGAGCAGGGGCACCGGGGGTGTTGGATTCCTGCATCCATCCCTCTGAGTGTCCTGGGGCTGCTGGATTGCCACTCTCTGCTCCAGGCCCAGCCCTGGGTCTGGAGGACTTTATAGCTTATCACGAGTCTCAGTGTGATATGCACATGTATGGGGGGAACATGTACTTTTTTTTTTTTTTTTTTTTTTTTAGAGATCGGACAGGGAGGGGCAGAGGAAGAGGGAGAGAATCTTAAGCAGGCTCCATGCCCAGCGTGGAGCCCAACAGGGGGTTTGATCTCACGACCGTCCGTGGGAGGGGAGCTGGGTGCGGGAGGATCTAAGAGATGGAAGGAGGCCAGTCTGATTTGGGGTGAACCCCAGGGGGTCAGGGCTGGACTGAAGAGACCAGTCGTCCCCTCTGGGTCAGCTTGGAGAAAGTAGACAGGGGCTTGGATCCTGTTCATTCGGGTCCAAGTCAGGGAGGGCCAGGGGCTCTGGCGACTGCAGCCAGTAAAGAGAGATGCCACGCTTTTCTTCGGCAGGTATCGTGTGAACTTCAGACCCAGATACGTCACCAAGTACAAGACAGTGACACAGTTGGAATGGAGGTGCTGCCCCGGCTTTAGAGGGGGAGACTGCCAGGAAGGTCCCAGGGACCCTGTGAAGACTCCCCGCCCCACGCCCGCCCGGCCTCGAAATAGCATGAAGAAAGCCACAGGTAACTTCTTTGTACTTTGCTGTGGGTGACCACCTCTGATCTTTCCAGTGCTCCTGCAGACAGTAGGATTTATGATTTTCAATGGCAATCTGTCCAAGGTTCAAGTAACACGCATATATGCCTGCAGTAGACACATGTGGCATGCAAAGTTATTTGCAAAAGCAGCAGCAATTAGAGTACAGATCTTTTCTTTTGCAAGTAAATTGCTTTGTTAGGGCCAACTTGTGAAAGCCAAGAACTTAGCAATCAGTGTAGGGGATGGTTTCAGACTGGTGTAGTGTGCAGAACATTTGAAAAGAGATTCAGATGTAGTGATGCTTTGTTTGTTCTTGCTTTTCATCTACAAGCTCCCATAAATCTGAATTTGAAGGAACTAAATTGTTGTTTTTTAAATAGGTAAATTAGAATCATTGTCATTCTGTTTGGGGTGAGATATTTGCAAAGCTAAGACAGAGAGGCATCCAGTGAAGTTGTTCTTAAATTTGTTTCTAAATTTTTTTGAAGTAGCACAAATTCAGTGAATAACTCAGAAAGCAGTGATAATTTTCACCTTTGCTTTTAAGTTTAACATTAAGTGACTGACTTCTATGGATAAAAATTGTCCTTTTATCTTTCCTCTTTTTTAGGTTGAGTGAGAATAAATGTAACCTAGGTTTTCTCATTAATTTGACGGTTGTCTTTAAATGATTGTATTTTCGGGCACCTGGGTGGTTCAGTTGGTTAAGCGACTGCCTTCGGCTCAGGTCATGATCCTGGAGTCCTGGGATCGAGTCCCACATCGGACTCCCTGCTCAGCGGGGAGTCTGCTTCTCCCTCTGACCCTCTTCCCTCTCGTGCTCTCTATCTCTCATTCTCTCTCTCTCTGAAATAAATAAATAAAATTAAAAAAAAATGATTGTATTTTCCCATGAAGTATTGTCAATTTTGAAACTTGTAGTGTTTCCCAATATTGTCTGTAAAATTTTAAAATAATTTTTATGAAAAAAGTAATGCATATCAATTAAAGAGTGTTTATAAAGTTATAGGGAAATACTTAGTTACACATAATCTCACCGCCATATGATAACTACTGCTAACATTTTGTTATCACCCATTACTCTCTTTCCTATGTCTGCACATACATTTTGTTAAAGAAAAATTCATTTATTCATCCCACAAATATTTATTGAGCTTCTATATCTGGCAGACTCTATCCTAGATACTTGGGAAAAGTGAAAAACAGGGCAGACAGTCCCTGAACTCAGAGAAGGCAGACATCAGACAAGTAATTACAATAAGTCATCATAGATAATATGGGGACACACAAAGGGGTCTGTTGGATCATAATAGTTTACTTTTGTTTCATTTTATTTTATAAAAGCTTAAGCCTGTATGTCGTTTACTGAGTCGAATAGCTTAAAAGGACTATTAGGAGAACAGTGACCCTCCTTCTCCCCCGTTTTCCCTTCTCGGAGGTAATTCCTTTAAACTGTTTAGATTGTCTGTTGGAACTCACCTCCATATCTATTGACCTCTCATTATGGAAGGTGAGGGTTTGACTCCTTTTCATCTGCTTTCCAGCACATGGCTCCCATACCCTCATCCTTTCTGTACAGTTTATACCAGGTTTTTAATTTATTTAATACATATTGTTTACATTGTAGTAACTGTATAGATAATGTTTACAGCTGAGCCATGTAGTATACTATGAATCTGTTGCCTTTCCTATACAGCTTTATGGTTTCTTTAGAGTTTGTATTTGTCTTATATTTTCCTTTGTTTTGTTTTTTATGTCTTTGTCCTTATTTCAACCCAAACTCTCCTCTGGGTGATTATCTAGATGTCATTTCATTATGTTCAGACACATCAGTGTCATCTTCCTGAAGCATCCTCCTAGAGATTTCTCACCTGCCCCACCTGGTCAGCTTCTTTTCCTTGTTCACAGCTGCCAGCCTGTGATCTTAACTTGTCTCTCTCCCATTGATCCCCTCTTTCCTGTACTCCCTGCTTGTTCTCAACTTACTCCCTTGTTTTGGTAAAGCACATCCTCCAGTAGTTTTATGAGAAGATTGTATGGGAGGTACACTTTCTATTATTTTATAGTCTGAAAATATTTTAATTCTACCTTTAGAATTCTAGATTTGAAATAATTTTCCTTCATAATTTTGAAAGCATCACTCAATTTTCTTCTAGCTTTCAATACAGCTGTTAAAATGTCCAAAACCATTCTGATTCCTAATTTTTTATACGTGACATGGTTGTTCTGTTTTTTGTTTTGTTTTGTCGTCTTAGTGGGATTTCAAAAGGGAATGAAAAGGAAACGCTTATCCTTAATCCACTGTCATTATAAAGAACACACTATTTTTTTAAAGATTTTATTTACTTGAGAGAGAGAGTGCGTGTGCGCACTCGAGAGTGAGCACAAGCAGAGGGAGGGGGAGGGGGGAGAGGGAGAAGTGGACTCCCTGCTGAGCACAGAGCATGACGTGGGGTTCATGGGGCTCTTTCCCAGGACCCTGAGATAGTGACCTGAGAGGAAGTCAGAAGCTTAACCGACTGAGCTACCCAGGTGCCCCAAGGACATGCTATTTTTAGAACTTATTTTTTAACTTAATCTATAATGAACAACAGCTCATTAAATAATTTACAATATCATTTAATGGCTTTTGAGAGTGTGATTATTTGAACACAGTCCCCTACTACTGGTCACTTAGGTCGTTTGCAGTTTTTCAGTATTATAGATACTTTTTGAATAAACATTTTTTCCTCTTAATATTTTAGATTCATCCTTGATTATTTACTAGAAGTGTAATTTCAGGGGCAAAAGGATTCTGAGATTTTGATACATACTGCCAAATTATCCTTCCAAAAAGTTGTAGCAGTTTCCATAGTCACCAGGAGTATGGAAAAGAAGCATTTCCTTACATTCTGATTTCCCCCCCATCTCCTGCCCTTTCCTTTTAGTTCCTTTGCTCAGAATGGCATTTCATCTGTATGTGATTCAACAATTTGTTTTTTTCTCCTAGTGGCTTGAGGTAGAACAAATTTTTCAGTGTGGAAAATAAAGTATTCTTTATAGTTCTCTGCTTGGGAGTTTGGCCATCTGAATTCCAGTCTTGGTTTTAACACTAAGTTGATTTTAATGAATAATAGCTGTGGTTATGATTGTGTACAAAAGTTTAGGGGAGGAAAAAACAACAGTAAACTCAAATATCTGCAACGTTCTACATTTACTTCTAGTGTTTGTTCAGTGTACCTTAATGCATTTTACTTCATTGTCATCTATATTGTGTTTGACTTTTTCCACCTGTCAAGATAGTCTCCATATCATCTGTGTAGGCTTGTCAATGTTAGCCCCTCCTTTTTTTTTTTTTTTAAGATTTATTCATTTCAGAGAGAGAGCGAGCAGTGGGAGGGGCAAGGGGAGAGGGAGATAAGCAGACTCTTCACGGCGCAGGGAGCCCAACGTGGGTCTCAATCCCAGGACCCTGAGATCATGACCTGGGCTGAAATCAAGAGTCAGAGGTTTAACTGACTGAGCCACCCAGGTGCCCCTGTTAGCTCTTTCTAGTATTCCTTGTATCCTACTGTGTGTTCAGGGGGCATGGTTTGCTTCTAATCTCCTATTGCCTCAGGTTTCAGTAATTTTCTTTTTGTCGAGTTCAACAATCTATCTGTCACTTTATTTTCATTTTTATGACTCATCACAATCATCTTTATAACTTTTTTCTTTTGGACTATTTCCTTGGAGGTATATTTCTCAGATTATCAAAAATTCAATGTTTATATTCTTTGATTTAGTGAATCTTAGTCTATATGACCATGTGGCTTTATTGTTAGGAGATGCCAACAGAATCACTGCTGTATTTCTCTTTTGCTTTTAGTTTCCGGAACTGCATAATGGTGGTAAACAATGTCTATGAGACTCCTTTAGCCTAGCGATGCTAATAAAAGTAAAAGAACATTTAGGAGTTGCTTGGGGGATAACTTACTGCTTGTATGATATCATACCACCCAACAGCTAATGGGTGGATCTTGCTAAAGTGGCTTCTTGTGGTTTTATAGAACAGAGCCAATCACTGGGGTGTAGCTGCTGCTCACTAATGTGGGAACAATGTGTCCATATGACAGAGTAGATTAAGAATATTTCCCTTTAGGGTGCAAGAAACCACTGACCGTCTATTATGTGCCATGTACATATTCTCTTAACCCTAGGAGGGAAGATAGTACCTCTGCTTCAGAGATGAGGGGATTATAGTTCACAGAAGTTAATTAACTTGCTCAAGGGCAGACAGTAAACAGCAGAGCCAGACTGCAAGGGGAGGTCTCTTTGACTCAAAGCCCACTGTCTTTTTCGCTCTACCACGATTGCCTGTGGTTAGAGGGGATCTATAAGTGAAGGCTTAAGTGTATTCCTCAAGTACCCTGTTTATTGGCTTTGCAGAAAATGGGAAATGGTAGAACGTGTTAAGTCATATCCGACTCTTCCTTTGTAACAGATAATGAACCAAGCCAAGTCTCAGAGCCCAAGAAGACTTTGTCACCAACTCGTGCAGCGGAACCAAGCCAAACGGTAGATCCCAAACAGGAGCCACAGGAACTTCAGGAACAGAAAATCCAGGTGCTTGAAGAGAAGGTTCTCCGACTCACAAGAACAGTTCTTGATCTCCAGTCTTCCATTGCTGGAGTGAATGAAAACCTCAAGCATGCCATTCAGGACGATGCTAGCAAAATGCTGGCATCGTGGCTCAGTAATCTGCACCCCCAGCCGGTGCCTGACAGTGCTGTTGGCGGAGACACAGAGACCATCCAGCTTCCTGATGTCCTCAACAATAAGGGATCTGGCATGAAGGACATCAAGTCTGAATTGGCTGAGGTCAAGGATGCTCTGAAGAACAAGAGTGACAAGCTGGAAGAGCTGGATGGGAAGGTAAAGGGGTATGAAGGACAGCTCAAACAGCTCCAGGAGGCTGCCCAGGGCCCTACGGTGACCATGACGACCAATGAGCTCTACCAAGCCTATGTCGATAGTAAGATTGATGCCCTGAGAGAGGAGCTCATGGAGGGAATGGACAGAAAGCTGGCCGATCTGAAGAACTCATGCGAGTACAAGCTGATTGGTCTCCAACAGCAGTGTGATGACTATGGGAGCAGCTACCTAGGAGTGATTGAGCTTATAGGAGAGAAGGAAACAAACCTGAAAAAAGAAATAAATGATCTTCGAGCCCGGGTACAAGATCCTTCAGCTCAGTCAAATTGCTGTGGTGGTGAAAAGAATGGTGACTTTGGGCAACAGATCAAGATGTTAGACCAGAAAATTGAAAGAGTTGCTGAAGCCACCAGAATGCTGAATGCACGACTGGACAATGAATTTGACCGCCTTGTAGTTCCAGAGCCAGATGTGGACTTTGATGCCAGATGGAATGAACTAGATGCAAGGATCAATGTGACAGAGAAGAACGCGGAAGAACATTGCTTTTACGTTGAAGAAACCCTTCGGGGGACCATTAATGGTGAGGTAGATGACCTGAAGCAACTTCTTGATCAGAAAATACAGTCTTTGGAAGAGCGTCTGGGGAGTGTTCTCCTGGAGGTGGCCAACAGCACTGAGGCAGAACTCAGCCCCCCAGCCTCAGCCTTACCGGGTGTGTCAGGGGCTGGGAACAAACAGGTCCTGATAGAGTTAAATCACCTGAAGAACAAAGTTCAAGTTGTTGAGGATATTTGCCGGCAGAACTTTCAGAGAGAGCCTCATGGCATAGAAGATACTTTGTCAAATGGAGAAGACCACATAACGGGTGATAGTTTGAACCTTTTGAAATCTCTGAATGACACGTTGCATAGGAAGTTTCAAGAAACTGAACGTAGCATCCAGAAACTTCAACAGGATTTTAGTTTTCTTTATTCTCAACTAAACCACACAGAGGACGATGTGAATCATCTGCAGAATGAGCTGAGCAGCTGTAGAGAAGGTAAAAGTGCTGCAGTGGGTGGGTTTCCTAAGGGGGGCGAGCAAGGAAGGACAGTGGAGCCCCTCCCATCTCCCTGGGACCCCAAGGCTCATTGCTGCAGCCAGCTGGAGGAGAGGTGGCAGCACCTGCAGAACCGGGTCCTCTCTGAGCTGGACACTTGTAGGGAAAACACGCACGGGGTCCGGAGGGATGTCTCTGTGGTTGAGAGCAGGGTATCTCAAATGGAGAAAACCTGCAGCAAGCTGGACTCCATCTCAGGAAGTCTTCAGAGGATCAAGGATGGGCTCAACAAGCATGTCAACAGCCTCTGGAGTTGTGTCAGGCAGATGAATGGGACACTCCGGTCACATTCCAGAGACATATCTGGCCTGAAGAATTCAGTCCAGCAGTTCTATAGCCACGTTTTCCAGATTTCTACCGACTTGCAAGATCTGATCAAATTTCAGCCATCAGCAAGTAAGTTGACCTTTACAATTCCATTTCTTGCATTTGCAATGTTTATCATGCTATATTTTGGATGGCCCATGGGATTAACTACATCAGTCCTCCCCAAAGTGTGGTTCATAGATTGGGGTGCCAGTTTGTGAATCACTGGTGCTGACTGGCAGTGAGATAAATACCCACATTGAGAGTATTTAGAAACTTCTATTGAAAACGGTTGGACTTCACTGTAGCATTCAAGCACACTGTCTGTGCATTTTACAGAAGTACCAGGACAACAGATTGAAAATGAAAAAGGAATACTCCTTCACCACAGGAAAGATGGCAGAATGTTGATCTGTGTAGACCATCATGTTGGTGAGCTTAGAGTTGGGGTCAGGTTTTTGGCATGACAGCTTGGAGCAGTGGATATTGTTGTCCCATCTTTTAGGGAGTCTCCTGTATGCTTATTGGCTCACTTGTCTGCCAACCTCGCTTTTTGTTTGCGGGTGTCATTATAATCTGTCCTCATCAGCTTCGGGCTACCTCCTATTCCCTGAACTCTAAGGCCTAGATGATGGCAAGTGGAATACTGCCCTCTTCCTTTCCAGAGACAGAGACAAGACCCTGGACGAAAAGCATTTTAGGGGCAGTAACTGTTGAAGGCGGTGTAGTGCTTAGAACAAGGAAGCACATCAGCTGTGCGTGGGACAATGCTTGCTGCACATTAGATGCTCAGCAAATGTTTGTTGAATGAATGAATGAATGAATGGTTCCTTAAAAACATGAAGAAATATATTCAACAAAGTTCGTTTCTTTTCTTACTTGAGGGTTCAGCCCATCCTCCCTGAAGGACAGAGCTTCTCTTATACCTGGATTCTTTCATTTAGGTAGTCTCAATAATGAGACAGCCTTTTCTAAGTGGAGGCAGGGAGGGAAAATGAGTTCACATTTATTGAGCACTTTCTGTGTACCAGCACGGTGTTGGTTCCCTCAGGGGACATGTCTTAGAGCCCCCCAGTCGCCTCATGGGGAAGGCACACTACTTTCCCAAGGGGAAGTGTATCCAAGGGCATACAGCCAGAAAGTGGCGGAGCCGGGATGGGAACCCTGGGTGGGCTGCATCCAAGAATTGTCTTCCAGTCCAGAGCACATCTCCTTTGTGTGACCCAGAGTTGAACACAGATTTACTGGGTCCAAAAGGACTTGTTGAGAGCCAGCTGTAGGCCCAGAAGGACCCCACTTCCTGATTCGCCCTCTCCCTGTTTCCTCCTCTCTTGCTTTTTGGGCCTTTATCACCTTTTTCACCTTGCTCAGCTCCAGGTGACAAAGGCCCTCACACGTTGAGCTGAGATTTTTATAGCCTGGATGGAGTGAAGCCTCTAGGATTTTATGTCCAAGCTGAGACATAAAACCCAAGGAGGGGAGGGCTGGAGCATGAGAGGCAGATGAGCCATGGCGAGTCCCTGGTAGGTCCCCAGGAGGCTGGAGGGTCTGAGGTAGTCAGGTGGGAAAATGCTTTGGATGTTCCCAGAGATAAGACGTTTGTAGATAAGGAGGTACCCAGGCCAGCGAGGACCGGGAAGCTGGCCTCCACCCCAGTGCTGGGCCCACGACACTACACTATTTATAACCCTCCCCTCTTCCCAGGCCCACACAGCTCCTCTATCTCTGGAATGTTGAGTAAAGGTCACAACACTGTGTGTGTTCATAGAACGATTGTCCTTGGGGTGACAGGGCTGTCTGGACGGTGCTTTATAATAACAGATTAAACCAGATATTTCCAGTTGATTTGCAACTCCCAGGCGGTGTGGGAAGCTGTGTTAACTCCTTCACACTTGTCTGTTGAAGGAGGAGTCAGACGTGGACGTCTTTAAAGACAATGTAGCTTCTAAAAGATTATCCTTCTGGAATGAATTCATTGCTGTGAATGTAGAATGTGTGGACTCTCGAGAATTCCACTGATTGAAAAGAACCAAAAATTAACAAGCAGGGCTCTCTCCTTGTCCTGTATATAGCACCCCAGTCCGGGAGGTCTGGAGCCTGAGTAGCAGAGGTCCAGGGGCAAATCTGGAGTTAAGGTCACAGTGAAAGTCACACGTTGGCCAGTTAAAAGTCAACAGAACGTTTATTGAGCACCTGCTGTGTGCAGGGCTCTGTGAGAGACATGGAGAGAATGAGTAGCAAGATCCTGACCCTCAAGGCATTTTCAGTCAGAGTGGGAAAGCCACATAGGTCTGCAGAGAGAATGAATGTGATAGCAGGTAAGGCCCAGCCGGTGGTGTAGGCTTTATCCTTTCAGTTCATAAAGTCTCACTGAGCCTCTATTATGGGGTAGTTAATGAGCTACGTGTGTGGAGTATGTGGATGATGACGCACATGACAGTGACAGTCTGAGGGCCAACAAGCTGACAAAGGGATGGTCATGGGAACGGGGTGTGCATAGGCACACTGGGTGTGTGGAGAGGCACCTGTGGCCACTGTGGAAGTCGGGGGGGCTCCTCAGAGGAGAGAGCCCCTGAGTCAAGCCTTCAAGGTTGAGTAGGTTGAGAGTTTAGAGGTTGGAGGGGTGAAGAGTGAGGTGGAGTGATAAGAGAAGCTGCTGGAAGGAGGTGTTACTGGAACTGATAATGAAGGGATGGGTGGGGCCCAGAAGAGGAGGGGAAGGCATACCTGGTGAGGAGTTGATATGAATGGGTCAGTTATTTATTGCTGTGTAACAACCTACTCCAAATCTTGGGGGCTTAAAGCAACAAAGATGTATTGCTTTCCATTATTCTGTGCATCAGGAACTCGAGGGGGGCTTGCCTTAGCTTGGCTCGGTGGTGGTTCTCCATTTGGCATCAGCCTGAGTCAGTCACTCAGCTGTAATCAGCTGGCAGCTGGCCTGGCGGCACTGGAAGGTCGGGGGTCCTCCCTGTCGCCATTCTCTGTCTCTCTCTCCATGTGGCTAACTTGGGCTGCTTCACAGCATGGCGGTCTCAGGGGAAGTCAGACTCACTACATGGTGACTGGCTCATAAAGGAAAGTGGAAGCTGCCGGGCCCCTTCTGGGCATGGCAGCCTGTCTGCCACATTCTGTTAGTCAAAGCAAGTCAGCTCCTGAAGGGGGACGTGGTTTGTATGCGTTGGGAGGGAAGGAATATTAATGGTAGTCATCATGTCTCCCTCAGGGAGCAAAGGCCCAGGGATGAGGGTGCCTGATGTAGGTTTGGACCCGTAACCAGGTGGCTGGACTGCCTGGGGAGGCAAAGTCCGGCCTTTCCACCCAGGGCACTGCCCTGTTCTCCCATGCCGTTCTTTTCTTCAGAAGCATCCCTAAGGGGGCCTGAATTTTCCAGAAGGCAGGCAGTGTGGGGGCTAGGGGCATCATATAGCTCCAAGTCTATTTTGTCTCCTTCCCATTAGTGCAGATGTTCTTCCCTGGGGTTTAAAAGGGACTCTTGAAATTATTTGCAAATGTTGGCTGGTTTTTTTGGACCAAAGGTCCATGGCTTTCATCTAGGAGGCAGAAGAGGTGCCTAGCTTCCAAAAAATGAAGAACCAGTATCTCACCTTAAGCTCAGTAAAGTGGGTGTGATGCCTCTCTCCTGGCCCCCTCCATCCCACCCAGGCACTCCCATCCTCATTTATTCAACTGACACAATCTTAGCCACGTCCTGGTGCTGCAGTGCCTGTCCTCACGAATGTTACACTCTCGTAGGGAAGACAGACAATGCACAGCCAAGCAAACAATGATCTGATTTCAGCCAGTGATCAGTCTGCAAGGAAAAACACAACAGAGTAAATTCATGTAGAAGAGGAGACAGCAATATGTTTTAGGTGAGTGGGCAGGGAGGGTTGCTCAGTGGAGAGGACATCTTTGCGGAGCCCTGCAGGGATCTGTGGGAGGTGTCCCCCGCAGACAGAACAGCACGTGCAAAGGCCCTGGGGCAGTAATGAGTTTGCCCTGTTTGAAAAACTTAGAATGCTAGTTTTATCAAGTATATGAACAAAGGGGGTAAGTCCTAAGCACTAAGGTCAGAGAGGGGGTAGGAACCAGATCATGTAGGATTTTATAGGCTATGGTAAAAGATTTGAGTTTTAAGTATGATGAGAAACTATCAGAGGATTTTGAGCCAGCCAGTGTTTATTATTTCCCAGGTTTGCAATCCAGCTATCTTCATGCTTTCTCTGGGACTTTGGGCAAGTCATTTATCTACCTAGTTACCTCACTTTCTGCATCTACTAATTGGAAATAATGACACTTACCTCAAAAAGTTGGTTTAAGGAGGATTAATACTCATAAGGAGTGGAGTATTAAACAGTGCCTGGTCCCTGGTAATCACTCAATCAGTATTACCTATTATTTTAACCCTCTGTCCCCTATAATAGATGTTTACTCTGCTCCTGGCTGAACTTTTCTCCCTTTCTCTTCCTACAAACCCCCAGGCATCCAGCCTCAGGGGAGCCAGAAGAGCCTGTCCACAAAGCAGACATGGGACGAGAGCCCTGCATGTCGGGCTCCTGGCTGCTCCGTGGAAGGCTCTGGAAACCCAGTGGGGGTCTTCTCTCCCTTTCTTTTTCTTTTTTAAATTGGGGGTCAGGTGGGAAGTGTAAAAAGCCCAGAAATCTCCCCTCCCTAGCGTTCAAGATTCACGTTCAAATACTTCTGTTGATGAGAGGCTCAGGACTTGGGACTAAGTTAGGCTGCTAAGTCCTTTGTCCTTCTGTCCGATTTGGCCAGAGGGGTTTGGCCCGCTGCCCGCACACGCTCACTCACACTGTTGGAGACGCGTGGGGCCCTGCACTTCTGGCTGGGACCCTCTGCCTTTCACTTGGTCAGCATCTTGTGGGGCAGGAGTTGCGCTATGGTGTGGGTAAAAGGCATCTTTTCCTGCCTGGGCCCCAAGGACTGCCCTGGCCTGTAACTCAAGCATTGTCAGCGAGGCCGTGGCTGGCTGCCCCCTTTGACGCCGGGGCATCCCAGCCTCCTGGTGTGACCTAGACGCTGAGGCCTGGTTGGACGCCGGTGTTTTGGCTGTGCCTCTTACGGTGGGAGAGAGGGGAGTTCCTGGGATTGAGAAACCTGGGGCTCCCGCTGGGTGGGGATGGCAGGCGGAGGAAGACTTCTGTGCAGCAGGGAAGCTCTCTTACCCTACGTCACAGTTCCAAGAAGAGACATGCCCACCTAGATACCAGGATGTTGTTTCAACCGACCCTGGTGACAGCAGCATCACTTCCTTTTTCGAATCCCCCCATCTGTTTCTTCTGCTCACGTCAGAGGGCTGTTTCTCCTAGTACTTGAATTATACTAAACACAGTGTTTCATTTGGGAGTGTTAGAGATTTAGGAATCCCATCGTTATCAAGTGGCTTAATGCAGTCTGTGCCACAAGAATGAAAAAGCATGGATTTTCCCAAGATTTAACCATAAAACCTGGCCAGGGAAAGAGTGGCCTGATGTCACAATGCTGGCCTGGGCCCTCAATGTGAAATTGGCTGAATCAGGAGCCAGTTTAGGTCCAAGATAGCATGATGGACCAAGTCAGCGTTTTATAAATATATAAAGGCTAAAACAGACTGCATACACTCAGACCAGCCTGACTCCAGCAATACGCACCCTTTTGCCCTGTGGGCGCCCGGTGCTGGTAATGCCCTTTGGTGGACGTAAGTAGCTGCTGCGTGGTGTTCTCAGGCCTGAGCTCTCCCCCATAGCTGCATGCAAGAATGCTCAGGGAGCTTTAGAAAAGTAAGAACTCCTGGGCTCCGTCAGGAGATTCCTGCTCAATAGGCATGAAATGAGACCTAGGAATTTGTAATCAAATTTGTAATTAAAACAAAAACCCCTAGCTCTGGTCCCAGAAGCAGAAGGAAGGCTACTTCAAAGGCAGCAGGATATCACCACCCAGGGTGAACTGTGCCCAAAGGAAGGGGAGAAACAGGGAGGAAGGGAGAGGAGAGAGAATGAAAAGGCCGACTTTGACACTGGGCGGGCAATAAAAGGGGACTTGGTGTGAACCAGTCCACTTGCAGACGCCTCTAGCTGTTGATAGGACGTGCTTTATTTACATCTTGATTTCTGCAGCTTTATAATAAGTCTTAAGACCAGGGAGTGTAGATCCTGTGCATTTCCATAGGGATTTTAGAAGCAGCTTGTGAAGTTCTACCAAAAAAGAAAAAAAAAAAATTCCCAGGTGATGTTGAGGCTCAGCTAGGTAAGACTCCCCCCAACCCCGGGATTCTGTGATTGCAAATTCCTTCCCATTTCAAATGTGCTGCCACCGCGAGTATGGCTGTGTGTGCCTCTCAGTTGTTCTCTAGGTTGTGCTGGTTGGACACGTGGACCCGTTTTCGCCCTGGAGCCCGATTCCAGGGCTTCCCGTGTGGTCGCGTCGGGACTCACTGTGTCGCCCTCTGCAGGAGGCCACACTGCACTCCTGGGCGGCACTGAGGGCTTCTCGTCCTTCCAGCCAGAGCCGCCAGCCACATCTAGGTCACCGTGAGCTCAGAGTAGACACCGTGAGCTCAGAGTAGACACCCTTCCGGTGTCCGCAGGAGACCAGGTCAGGTGTTCTGTGGGGTCTCGCCGCCCTGGCAGCCTCCAGCAGGCCTGCGGTGCTCCACTGTGGGGGGGTCCCTTGGACCTCGTCCGCCAGCCGAGCTGCTGCAGGGAGCCTGAGCAGCCCCTTCCTGCGGCCCACGGTGGCGGTTAGCGGCGAAGACTTGGTGGGCGTCCTGTGGGCGTTTGGAGGCCCGATGGCCAGCTGTAAGGTGCCTGCGGGGTTGCGGGCTTCCCGGCAGGCCTGCTGCCCCCTCTGCTGGGCGCCCTGCACAGTGCCCCGCTCCCATGGGCACCCGGTTCGGTCTGGTTGGCAGGAGGGGGCCGCAGGGCTGGCCCGCTAACAGACTGGGCAGATGAGGCAGGAGGGGTCCATGGCCTTCCCCCAGCCGGGGCCCCGACTCTGGCACCGGAGGCCAGCGTCCATCCCCCACGGCCTCTGCTTCTGTAACAGACACCACCTAAGGGCCCTCCTTCCTGCAGTCTCCCCCCACCATGCAGCTGGCCTCCCTTCGGGGTTCTCTGGTGGCCGCAGGACGCAGACACAGCCTGGACTCCTGTTCTCCCAGCCGGGGCACAAAGCAGCTGCAGGACACTGGTTCTTAGCACGTCAGCTCACGGGTTCCTGGGGATTTGCTTCCATAGGACTTCTCTTTCATGAAGTCAGAATTCTAGAGGAGCGGGAGAGGCCTTTGGTAGTCGGGTACCAGGCCCGTCCGCGGAAGGTGGGGTGCTGCCAGCCGGCTGGAGTTGACCTGGGGTCACGAGGACAGATCAGGACTGGAGCCTGGCGTGGTTCCCTGGCCCGTGGCGGTGCACATGGGGCCTGCAGCGGCCCTTCCTACGCCACGGTTGGGTTAGATGCCTGGGGCAGCAACACCGGGCTCTTCAGGACAACTCAGTTCAAGTGGTCACTCTCTGAATTAGAAACACATGTTGAGCTCAGAAAGACATCCACTGCCAGGAGTGATCTCTCCAGAATGAGCAAAATGCTGTCCAGTCTTTGTTACAACTTTGTAATAAATGTATATGCATTGGAAACACGTGATAACCGTGATGCTGGAGAGCCAGCATGAGCCAGGGCGGGGGGGGGTTGTTGTTGGGGAAATGACTGGACCCAGGGCGGCTTTCTCCGTACTGTCCTGGCTGAGATGCCTCGGCGCAGTCAGTTGCCCACAGCAGGCCTGGGTGTGCTCCCCCAAGGAAATTAGTGGAGGATATTTGTTCCAAGGGGTATACTTGTGCATTCTTTGCCTTCTGTGCAGTATGGCAAGCCTGGGTGTTGAGGGAGTGATGGATATAAAAGAGCTGTCACTGTCTCTGAGGACCAGAATTGCCCTTGGTGACAATGACTTTTGGGCAAAATTCAGGTACCTAATGCAACGGCTGGCAGGAATTAGAGTGTGGCCCATAGTACCTTCTAGCCTTCATTCATTCACCAAACACTTAAATGTCTCAATGTCAGGTGCCAGGCCCTGTGCCAAACGCTGAGGATAAAAGATTATTTAAAATGTGTCCTCAAAGGCTCATTATCCAGCATGACAGGAACAATATAAACAAATTGAAAGAGACTAAAACAAGTCATCCAACTAATGAAAAGAACTCTGAAGAAACACACAATGTAAGAAAACAAACATGTAAAACCCTTAAAAGAGCCTTCTTTCTTATTGGAGGCTTTCCTTGCACACATGTGATCTTGACCATGGTTCATGTGTAAAGGTGAGGCATTGGGCAAGATTTCATGCTGGCGGGCTTCATTATGGGGACAGTTTGAAGATTCTCCCTTTCTCCAACCTAAGCTATAATAAGTGTCCTGGGAGCTAAGTAGGAAAGGGGGTCGGGAGCTTCCTAATTCAGTGGGCAGACTTTGTGTTTCCAGACTGTTCTCTCCTGTCCTCCATTGTGGCTGATGTCCCCATGTCTGCAGTCCCTCTGCCTCAGTTTCTGTCTAACCCAACCCTTCTCAGTCAGGATTCTGAAAGAGAATTGAGGCCTGATTGCTGTTCCATCGAACGATGAGAATTCTCTTCTCTGTATCTAAGTATTGGTTCTGTATTATCCTTGGGGTGACTGAGAAAGTGGTGAATCATTCTCCATGGGGCTTAATTCTCTCATGGAGCACTGGTCGGTCCCTTTGGGGCTGGAGGTGGGTGAGCTTCGTGGCTCTTTGGTGGAAGGGGAGCACATGTTTGATCGCCATAGTTACCTTAGTGAGTTTGAAAACGAGACAGGGGGTCAAAATGCAATCACTGATTTTGCCGGGACATCACTGTATAGCTTCGGGACTTGGGCACTGCAGGTACCATACAGACTGCAGAGGTGGGTGGGGTTGGAGGCTGGTATCTGCCATTCCTGGTTATTTTTAGATGCCTTGTGGACCCTTGGAAGCCTTCCTGGAAGCCTGCCTTGTTCCAGGAATGTATTCATAGAAGGAAGGGCTCGCTGCTTCCTGGTGTGTCACAGCGCCATCCCCTAAGGGCAGGGAAATGTGAATCAGAAGTTTCTTCCCGTGGACTTCCCCTTAGCTGGTGAGCTTAAGGCTGTGGCAAGAGGCGTGGGGTGTTTCTGCTCCTTTGGGGCCTGTGCCTGCTGCAGAGGGGCCTTAAGCTCCCTGACGCCTGCTGGGGTCACTGCGGCATCTGCGTTCGGCAGGGCTTCGGCTTGCGGAACCATCCAGTGACCCTCAGACTTGCCGGTTTGAGAGAACATAAGGTGGCTGGGGGCAGCAGGTCCTGTTCAGTAATTCCTGATAGACCTGTGGTAGTATCATGTGGTGAAATCCGAAGTTTTAGGGCTGAGGCCAAGAATGGTGCTGTTCTGGGGAGGCAGCCATTGTGTAGAAAGGCTGAAAATCCTCCCACCTCCCCCTGGCTGCTGTGCAGGGGTCCCCAGTGACCTCACCAGCTCCTGGGTGACCTGAGGGCAGCCTGCCCCGTGGCCCACCTTCTGAAGCTGTGAGGCATGCTGTGCCCACGCTCTAGTGGCTGCGCTGGGCTCGCCGGGGCCCGTGCCCAGGACGCTGCTGATGCACAAGCACATACCTTCCCAGGGAGCCGAGCCCATCAGGTCTCACCGAGGGGCCTGGGGCTGAGCAGTCAAGTCTGAGGTTCTTAACCCTGCGTTTTTCTCTCCACTTTCCAAATGCTCAGCCGAGGAGCCCTCAGAAGCGCCGCTGCCCCTGCCCCAAGGAAAGACCCCGCAGGTGCCTGGAAGGCCCTCCCACCCGGCTCTGGAGGAGGCCCCCACGGAGGCCTCTCATCCCGAGCCGACCCCTCTGCCGACACCGAGCGCTCCCCCACTTCCTGAGGACCCCAGAAGATGGCCACACACAGGCCAGCGGCCTGTCCTGCCCAAGAGACCCCCGCACCCGCTGCCCCCACCAACATGGCCGGGCTGGACAGGGATGCCCTACTTGCCTGGCTCCACCGGGGTCATTATGGAGACTGGAGAGGCCGGGCCTCCGGGGAGGATGGGCGTGTCGGGGAGGGGCCTGCCCCAAGGAGTGGACGGCCAGACGGGGCAGGGGCCCATCCCCAGCGCTGAAGGCTTTGCGGGAGCACCAGGTAAGGCCCTTGCGGCTGGGCACGTCTGAGTCGGTGGGGGCGGGGGGGGGCATTGTGAGAATATATGGAGGGTCAGCCTGAGCCTTAGGGGGTCTGCTGCAGGGTCTTTCCGGGTGCAAGTTCCAGAAAAGAGCTCTTCAGAGGTGCTGAGGGATGAGTTCATGCTAATCGAACCCCCAGAGGCTGGGGCACCCCCAGGGTTAGTGCAGTAAACATCTCGTCCCACTTCCAGTAGGAAAGTGTACCTAGGAGACCAGTGTGGACTGGGAGCCTCCGCAACAGCAGAGAATGCCGCCCCTCAGAGTGGGTGGGCCAGAAGGTTCTGGCTCAAATCTCAGCCATGTGAACACAGGCTTTGGGGCCTGGGACGGCTTCATAACCCCTGGAAGGCTCAGCTCCTTCACAGGCAAAGTGGGGGTAATAGTGGGAGCTTTGGGGGCAGCTCTGAGGGTGATGGAGAAAACCCCCGTTCAGTGCTGGGCCAGGAAGGACTACTTGCGAGCTGTGCAGGGCAAGGCAGGAGGGAGAAGAAAAAGGGAGCGAGCAGGTGTGTGACCCCTGCTGCGTGCCAGGGACTGAATCAGGTGCTGGGGCTGCTGTAGCTGTCCTGACGGCACTGTGCAGTCCAGGGTAGTCCCGTTTAACACGTGAGGGAACGGAGGCTCGGGGCGAGGACAGGTAAGCGGATGGTGCTGCGTAGAACAGTGCACACCGGAGCAGGCTGACCCCAGCTGGGAGGGGCTGGCGCACCGGGGGGCCCTGAAGTGCCATGGCTGCCAGGCAGGTGGGGTCCGTGCCGGGAACACAAGGAGGCACGGGTGCTTGGTTCCTGCTCAGCCACCCCAAGCTGCAGCCATCACAGCTCTCCCCCAGGCGACTGTGCCTCTCCAGAAAGGACACTTCCTCTCCTGGTCACGCCATGCATTACGGCTGTCTATACCGCATCTCCTGCCGTTTGGCCCTTTGTCCATCAGTGCTTCCACCCCCCCACCCATCCATGCATTCATGCAGCACAGTCCAGCCTCCTCTTTCTCTTCCTCCACCAGCCAGCTTGCCCTCAGGGCTCTTCTCTGGTCGGGAGAAGTGGGCCAGGGAGGAAGCAGGCACAGTGGGGGCACAACTGTGCCTCTCCTTCTGGGAAGGCAGCTTGTCGGGGGCGGGGGAAGGGGGGTGCTTGTTTTGTCTATTTAAAGAAATAGTGTGAGGAGCAGGGAGAAAAAGCGGGGCTCCTGTTTGACGTTCGACCCCATTTTTTTTTTCAGGATACCCCAACTCCCCTCCGGTAACCTCCCCAGGTACGTGTGCTGGGGGACCAGGCCGCCTCTGCCCCTCCCCGGCGTGTCCCGCCTGCTCCCTCTGGGCTGTTAGTGTGGGTGGAAGCCGGGGTCCACCAACTGAGGGGGAGACCGCTGCTGACTGGATTGACGCCCCCCCCCCCCCAAGATTTGCTCCTCGAGAGGGTCAGAGTCATGCCTGAGACAAGGACTTGCCCTCATAAATCAACAAGCGATGGAGTCGGCCGAGAGGCTCACTGGCCGGGTCTCTGCCTGGTTCTGCGCCCAGCCTCCCAGTTCCCCACTCTGCGCGTGTGTGGGTGTCGGGGTCTCAGGGTGGCCACGGTGTCACACAGGCATGCGGCCTCGCGTGTCCACCCGCCAGTGCCGTCCCACTGCACGTCCCACGGTGCTTTACCACCTTAAGGCAGAAGAGTACGGGCGAGGCTGCCTGTCCTGGCACACGGGCCTCAGTGCTCCAGGCCCTGACCTCTAACCCCTGCGAATGTTCCATGCCCTCTTGGCTCCAGGGGTTCCAGTGCCTTCTCTGGTGTCTTTCTCTGCGGGGCTCACTCAGAAGCCTTTCCCCAGCGATGGGGGCGTCGTCCTCTTTAACAAAGTGCTGGTGAACGATGGAGATGTGTACAACCCCAACACTGGTAAGCTCGGAGACTGTGCCCTGTCTCCCAACGCCAGTGGGGCCCCGTCCCGTCTGCTTCCCCAGGGCGTGTGGGTGGGGTGGGCGCCACGCTGGAGGAGGTGCCTGGGCAGCTGCGGGCGTGTGAGGGGACCACCTGGCCCCTGGTACTCTTCCCCGCTTTGTGGGGTTGGATGGAGGTTTCCAGCTCACAGGCTGCAGGGTGGGTGGGTGTGCAGTGACATTTTCTAGTCATGAGATCAGCATACCAGCCCTCGGCACTTGCCATGGGAAGCGCCGTCCCACTTGTTTGTGGAGGCCGTGGAGCTCCGCCCGCCACAGTCACTGTGCCCCGGCCCCTCCCCACTGTCGCTCCATGCCAGCGAGAGGCCTTTTTCAGTGTCCTGTTGTCCTCACACCGAGACAGGACAGACGGGAGACCAACCCCCTGCCCTATCTCCTTCAGAAGCTTGTTGATGAACAGAGCCAAGGAAGGGGACAGCATTCCTTCCAGAAGGGGCCAGACCCTGCTTGTGGGGTCTCCCGCTCTGGAACAGAACCACTTCAGTTGTGGGCCTGGGTTCTGCCTGGGGCATGTGTGTTGTTCCCCAGCCCCTGACAAGAGTGAGGACCAAGGTCACCTCAGGTTCCTGTGGTGTAGGCTTCCTCCTTTCCATCACACCTGAGCCTGGGCTTCTGTCCATCTTTGTCCCCAGAGATTGGAGTCAGAGCCTTCCTGAGAGGCCAGACACGGGCATCTTGTCCCCTATATGAAGGGGAGGCAGGTCAGGGCCCCCCTTCCCCGCCAAGCCCATGGGCAGCATGGAGGGAAGTACAGCTCCAGGTGGGCCCAGGGCAGGTCAGGGCAGAGCCCCGCTGTAGGTGCTGAGGGCCCACGCAGCTGGGCGGCCTTTCCCGAGTAGCCCACAGACTCTGAGAAGCCGGTCTCTGGGCCCATCAAGCGCCAGCGTGCTGAGGTGCCCACACGGGTCCTTGCCGAGGAGCTACATGGGTGTGATGGCAAGTGGGAGTTGAGGGAGGTTATGAGGAGGCAGATGAAATGGGATTCCTTCTCAGCAGAGTTTTTAGCCCTCACCCTCATGTCTGCCCTGCGTGGCCGTCTAATAAATCCTACAGTGGTTCTTAAGTTTTAGTGAGCATAAAAATTACCTGCAGAACTTGGAAAAAAATGGAACTCAAGTATCCTCCAGGCCCGTTGAAGTCAAGCGCAGGACTTTTTTTTTTTTTTTTTTTAAGATTTTGAGCAAGCGAGCGAGTATGAGGGGAGGCACAGAGGGAGAAGCAGATTCCCTGCTGAACAGGGAGCCCAACATGAGGCTCGATCCCAGGACCCCGAGATCATGACCTGAGCCAAAGGCAGACCTTTAACCAACTGAGCCACCCAGGCGCCCCAGGACTGTGCAGTTTTAACCTGCTCTTTTTTGTGAATAATTCTTTTTAACCTGCTCTTGAGGCACAGAGGCAGGCCGGGGTGCAAGAAGGGCCTTTGCTTTCAGAGACCTTTTTTTCTACACAAATACAGCCTCCTCCTGGGCCCTCACTCCATGCTGCCCTGATGGTGGGGTAGCTTGTCCACCCTGACAGGTCAGGTGGTCTTTGCAAGCAGGGATGGTGGCACATTTCTGGCACATTCCAGGATGCCCAGCCCAGAACTGTATTCTCTCATTGAGCAGGTCCTCAGGAAAGGAAATTCTGGGAGACCCTGAATGTGGACTCAGCACAGGCAGTCTCTAAGCGAGGAAAGAGGCCATGGGCCTGGAATGCTGGGACCAGGTCTGTTTTCAGGGTCCAGGTGCCCCTCAGGAAGACTGTGGAGCTTCAGATTACTCACCGTTACAAGCTGGGGAAGAGAGCAGGGTGGCCTGGCATTTTCTATTTTTCAGGGCAGATGAAGACCCAGCCCCCGAGATTCCTTCTCAGCTCCTGGGCCCTCCATTCTGTGGCTCTTGGCCTGTGGTCAGCGTCCATGTCTAGCCCCCTCCCCACAGCCCAGGGGAAGTGGCTGCTGCAAGCGTTTGGTGGGGTCTCCGACCTCGTCTGGCTTTGGGGCCAGTTGTCGCTTTGCAAATGGTCCATCTACAAATCCATCTCTTCTTTCTCATGCCTCTTACCTCCGAGCACTGCTTCCCCAGGCCCAGAACCTGTGGGTCATTGGTTCAATGAATGCCAGCTTATTTCTGGCCATAAATGGATGCCACCTGTATACTGGTCCAAGACAAGGAGCCTGGCTCTTCTGCATGAGGGCTGGCTGTGGTCTCTCCCACAAGCTTTGTGGCTTCTTTTTGGCCCCATCTCCTCAGGAAGCAACTCATACATTTCGTAGATTCTGTGCCCAGCACACACATTGTGAGGCTTATTCTCAGTGGGTGGGGTGCTTTCCATGCTGGAGTAAACTCCCAAATGGCAACCAGAATCTGGGCAGCTGGTGCCACCCCACTAAACCTTAGGGGAGGTAGGAGCAGGCCCCGGGCTGGGCCCCGGCCCTGAGTCTTGACGCCTGTGCTGCACACACAGCACGGTGAAGGCAGGTATGCCATGCTGCCAGGAATGTTAGAGGGACTGAGCTCTCTTCCAGCAAGGCTGGCTAGTTCTCTCCCTGCACAACCGCAGGGGGCAAGTTCTCCTGAAGGCTGCTCTGGGTGGAGGTGAGTTAACGGTGATCGTACCACATGCTGGGGGTTTGGCAGTATTTGTCCTCTTCTGGAGGTTACAAGCAGAAGACAGGGTCTCACCGTGAGGATTGGGTTTGTTGCAAAGGGCAGTGCCAGCTAAGGGGGTCTGTCACTGGGTGGGCATAGGGCAGGTTCAAGTACAGAAAGGGGCTACCTCCCTTCAGATCAGCCTGCCTTCTATGGGTCGGGTGACCAACTCTCCCAGTTTGTCTCCTGAGACAGTCCTGGAAAAACAGATCGTTAGTCTCCCAAATCTGGGTTAACGGACAACCTGTCCCAAAGGTGCTGGGATGGTGTCCCGGGACACAAGTGTCTGCCTTCCTCCTCCCAGGCATCTTCACGGCTCCGTATGATGGGCGCTACCTGATCACGGCCACCCTCACTCCTGAGAGGGACACGTACGTGGAAGCTGTCCTGTCGGTCTCCAATGCCAGTGTGGCCCAGCTGCATACGGCCGGCTACAAGAGGGAGTTCCTGGAGTACCACCGGCCCCAGGGGGCTCTGCACACTTGTGGGGGCCCGGGGGCGTTCCACCTCGTCGTGCACTTGAAGGCAGGAGATGGTGTCAACATCGTGGTGACTGGGGGCCGGTTGGCTCACACGGACTTTGATGAAATGTACTCCACGTTTAGTGGGGTTTTCTTATATCCTTTCCTTTCTCACCTCTAGGGTGGCTGGGGAAAGGTATTGGGAAAGATAGTCGTAAGAACTGGGAAGCTTTAATATATGCAGTTTCTGATGTATGTAACTGGAGCACTGATCTAGTTTTCTGTGAACATCCCAACCCCTCCCCTGAGATTCAGGCCTGCCGTGGCTGCTGAGGCCACACACCTGAGTGTTCCCCAGCGGGTGGCAAGGACACGTGCCTGACAGGGCCACGGCCTGCTGTCACTGCGCCCAGCTACCTGAGGAGCAGCGTCCTCCCTCCCCTGCAGCCTCCAGTGCTGGTGCCGCATCAGCAGGAGCTCTGCTCCAGGGGCCTGCATGGGGCCGATTGGGTGCCCACTGCGGAGCACGACCTGCTGCTGGAGGAGGGAGAGCTGCTGGGCTACAAGGCGGAGGGGATGAGGGCAGGCCAGGTGGTGCCGGTGGCCACAGTCTTTCTTTATGCACAGCGCCTGCAGGAGAAGGTTAAAAACTCAAGGGCTGAAGCCGCACGTGCCACCACAGAGACCTGGGGGCAAGGTGCAGGCTGGCCTGGGCTGGCTCTGCCTCGTGCTCCGGGCCCTGGCCCAGCGGTACAGGCGGGCCGGGAGACTGTGCGGCCTGTGGGGCTCCTTGAATGACGTGTACATGTGAAGTGCAAAGACAGGGAGTGTCAATAAAGATGTAAAACCACTTCAAGTTACTGAAGTCTGGTGCCTTCTAGATTGAGAGGTGTTGCTAAAAACAAACTGCAGAAAGGTAATTGACTTTTTTAAATGGCTGTAGAAAGCAAGCTTGTATAAATCAATCTCAACCATTAATTGTTACCCCTCACTATGCAAGCTACACACTTGGGTTTTTTTTTTTGCTTATAAAAAACCAGATGTGCTTGGAGGTCAAGGCCCCCCTATGATCCCCACAGCTAAAGAGGGGCTCCTCCAGGGGATGCTTAAAATTCTCATCTCATCAGCAGCTGCCCGAGCTAATGAGCTTGCTCGCTGCACAGCTCACAGCAGATGCGGCTTTAAGGACTCAGAGGTTCCCAAGCAACAACAGGCCCAACATAAAACTGATCACACTGAAGGCTGAGATCATCGGAGAAAAGCAGGAATCTTCCCATGGAGAGCACGTTCTGTTCCAGGGAAGCCCAGGCATGTTGCTCCGTTATCAGCAGCCAAAGAAACCTCTACGACACAAGACCCTTAGCTTCAGATGGTCCCTGCTCATCAGGTTGGTAAAATCTGTTGGCCAAGCAAGTGCCCCTGGGGAGGCAAGTCCCCCTAGAGCCCCAGGGAAAGATGCGGATCAGAGAAGCAAGTTTCCTGGGCCTGAAATCAACCCACTGGATACTCTTATGCTATAAAAAAATGCTGAGTTTCCAGGACGGCTCGCAAATGAGGTAACAGAGTGGCCACTGGACACTTCAGACAGGAGCCTTCTTTCTCATTCCCTTGCCCCAGGTAGGGAGAAGTGACCAAGAACCGCCAGTCTGTGGTTTTAGGACTTTAAAATCTGGATCTCTCTGTCCAGGAGTTGGTGGGGGGGGGGGCATTCTCTTCCCGTTTCAACAGCTGGGGAACTGGCTAAAGGTGGCTGTTAAGAGTGTCTGTCCTAGAAATGACTTATGGGAAAAACCCCAATGCAGTGGAACATTTTCAGGAAAACCCAGTTGGCACATGTACCTACTTTCGCCCTCACACCCCCTATAAAGACCTTACTCAGCGCCAAAGGGGACAAATGCTCAACAGCCAGAAAAGCAGGGGCCAGACAGAAGGGAGACAGTGACTATTCTTTCTGCTCTCTGGATGGTTCTCTAGAGCACTGAGTAAAGCTTGGTCCTCCTCTCTCAGTGCACCCTCCTTTACTGAAAAAGGTGAATTTCAGCTCTGTGTATCCAAGATCGGCAAGGTAAACTAAGTCTAATTACAGCAGTCCTGCGTTTACTTCAAGATAAAACAGAATGAAAGCTAGATCAGGTCTCCTTCAGAAGATGGCATCTTTCAAAAGGGAAAGGCCTTCCTTTGGTACAGAGAGAAAACGCAAGGTCAGCTGAGCTCAGGACTGCAGGAGCTCTGGAGCAGTCCCTTCCAGGCCTTAAGCTATGTGCCTGTGAGTCAGGCGTATGGACCCCGCCCAGGACACGACTTCTCAAAGACGCTGTTGCTGAGAAAAAGGTCAGGGCACTAATGCACAGACAGGCCTGGGACATTTTTTTCTCCCCCACATGTAACATTAGCAAAAGGCCTCATTTAAATGAACAACAAAACAATACCAGCACTAAAGAATGCAAATCAATGCACACCGCATTGGCAATTATTTCCGTGGTAGCGCATTAATAGAGCTTTCCTCGGTGGCCCTATCATCTTTCCTGTGGTTTCTCACGACTGGTTTGAAAGGAGTGTTTGTGATCAGAGGGACAGACCCAATCCACACTTGAAGATCTACAACATGCCTTCACATACACATGCACCCAGTTCCTGAACACGTTTCCTTCTTCCCCTACACTGTCCTGTCAAGGAAAGGAAAAAGGCAGACTCCACTCTTATGAGCTGCAGGGATGAGCCCTTACTGCTCCACCCCCAAGCGCTGGAAGCCAGCTCCTTCCAGTCAACGTCTCTCTAAGTGTGTCCTTTCTATTCCCTACGTACCCCCCGAAGACCCCCGGTCCCCTCACCCTGTGCTCACGTCAAGGCGAAGCAGGAGGACATGACACGCTTTCCCATACTTGAAGGTAGGCTCTCAAGGAGGGCTTTGGGATTCATGTCCAGCACATGCTGCATCTGGTAGAGCCCAGCAATCTGAGGGGATAAGATACTCAAATAGTATGTGGGGTGTGATTTTTGATCCACCACCACTTTGACTCTCCTAGGCTGATGAAAACATCAGAACTGCTAAGTGGTACTCACCCGGAGGGAGGGTTTAATGAAAGGTGGGGTGGCAAAGGCTCTGAGCAGGCCTCCCGGGGGGACCCCTCATGGGCTGCGGGGAACCCAGCCTAGAGGATGCCAGTGAGAACACACCAGGAATTACATATGTATGAATGAATCATTCTCTGGCAGAACCTACAAAGCAAGAGAGGTTGGTTCCTGTGGGTGTAGCCTCACTTTTGGAGTCAGGTTTTATAAAAATAAGCACCAAAAAGAAGTCCTTTCTGTAGATGAATTTAAGTGTCAGCAAAGATCAAAATGCTAATTTATGGAAATTATCAGTTTCTGGCAAGAGTACAGAGAATATGGTTTAAATGTCCTCTGAAGGAAGGAGTCAAATGCATTCAGTTTACGTTTGTTTATTGTTGTAACATCTTGTTTTGAACATCAGACACTGCACCAAAATAGGAGCCATTTATCTTAGGATAACTGTCTTTGCCATGACTGAGAGTACTGTACTGATGTTTACAATTAATTTCTGACAACTTAAAACTTATTAGTGGCATTGCTAATAATCAAATACTTCATCAGACTAAATGTAATTATTAAATTAAAACAACGAAGTTTCCCCCTCCCTTTCTTACCTTCAAAACAAACCAAAAAAGTAGTTTTCACCTGGAAAGAGCACTTAAACAAAAACTCAATTTTTAACTGGTTTCATTAAACACAGCATGTTCTAAAACAGGAAAACAAGGCTTCCCAGAGTAAACAGGATACATAAAAAGATGCTAAAATTCCCTGGAAGAGTTTGTTTTCACCAACTAGCAAAAGGAGAAAGCATTTACTTTCTACTTATCTTTAAAGGTCTTGCCTGCACCTTCAAGAACATCGTCCCGAAAGGCTGCATGCACTCCTACAGGGCACAGGCACTTTCTGGGCATTTAGCTAGTTGTTGTTCCTCAGCTATTCTGTGACCGTTAGCAGCTTTCATTTTAGTACATCACATCAGTAAGTTTTTTCTTTTTCCAGTTGAAAACTATGCAGATGGTTTTAAGCACAGCAAACACAGTCCTCACACACGGGGGCTAAGTGTGCATGCTCCGGGCCCACACGTGCCCTTCCTCACGCCTGCCAGGGACGCAGATGCTGACACCACAGCCAGACAAGCTTCAGCACGTGGGGAGCAAGGCAAATACTCAAGTCAGATTGAATTGGAGAGAGGGAAAGGGGCCAAGGCCATTTCACCAGTGGAACATCCGAGAGAATGACTTCAAAAAGCCCAATCTGCTTGCGATCACCCCGTGACCTCGCCCATCACCGAAAGCAACACGGGGCTAACGCTTCTTCATTAGCTCACCATTAGAAGGGTCTGTGTACACACACACTCGAGGGTAACTCTTTCACAGAAAGAACAAATGTCATTTGTACCAAATGGCAATGGGTTTCAGCACAAACTTAATACTTTCATAACACTATAGTGAGAATAATCATCCACTTTCAGCAAGAGGGACTCCTTCAAATAAGGAAAAAGATTCACGTTAATTAGCGAATGTAGTACCCACTGGATCTGCAGCAACAGAATGACAAAGTCTAGTGCTTACGGACACTGGGACAGGGGGCGAGCCACTGTCGGCACAGGGCTGGGACACCCGGGCTCCTGGGTTGGACCTTCACGAGGCCCATGTGTCCACAGAGAAGAGCTTATCAAGGAAAAGGAACTGTCTAATCAAAAAACTCTTTAAAAGACAACCTAAAGAGGACTACAGAAGGTTGAGAAGATTTCCGGTACCGCACGTGTGCAGAGAAGCCCTAATAAGCTCAGGTTCAGTGCAGAAAGCTCATGTCCCTCCTGGAAAACAAGCGTGGAGAGGACACATGGGCGGCGTCTCGGAGGCCACCAGCTGCACCGCTGCTCTACCAGGATTGTAAGTCACTAACTGGGCAAAATCTCCCAGAAACATAACCTAGTTTGCTTAACCTACTGTACATAAATAAACTCTTCACACGATTAGTCCTTGCACTATTGAGAGGGGGGAAGGTTTGCACTGGAAGAAGCACATGTTGGTCCTCTGGGAGCATGCACCTCCATGTTCTGCCACTGAGAGCTGCCTTTGGGGGGCTCTACCACAGTCTCCGCACCCAACAGCACGCGGAGAAATGGCCAAACTAAAGGGACTGCCAAATCTCCAATCTAGAAAAATAACCACCCCCATTTCTCCACCTTAGATCAGTATTACTTGGGAGGGACAAACTACACGGAGGAGAGCAAGGAGAGCACTGCAGTGCAAGTCCCGGGCAAGCAGAGGTGGGCACGGAAGCGGCCCCCAGCGGGTACCTGGATCCACAGCTCCCACTCTATGCTCTGGGACCCGGCTGACCGCTTCCCTTCCAGCTGAGGCCTGTGTGTGCATGGAAGCCTCCTCTCGGACAGTCCTCTGGATTCTAACACCGAGGTGACCATCAACACCCAGGCTCTCAGTTCTGGAGGGGCTCACAGGGCAGACCCTCCCCTGGGGCTGTCTGCTCGGACCACCGTGACTCATTACAACCAGGCTGGGAGACAAAGCTGCAGGCAGAAGGACAGAGAAAAGGACTCTTCCAGGACCCTGCACGAGTGCATATCTGCATTTCTAAGGCCTTGCTTGTCATCCAATCAGCTCCCACCTATAGTACTCTTCTTAGGGGCACCAAGCTCATCCAGCAAGACCTGTCTGCCTGACTGGGTCCAAGACAAGAAGGCGATGATCTAAGGGGCTTTTTTTCCCCAGAAGCCCATGTCTGCGGGGCTGGGGTCAGTGGCCCGGGCCCCTGCCTGGAGCAGCCCACTGAGCAGACA